GGAGCTCTGATCTAGGGAATTGAATCTGTGATCCAGTTCCCTGAATAACTTCCATCCCCCCCCCTCCCACAGGGGGCCATACAATCCCTGGGGGTTTTTAGCACTCCCCCATGATAATTGTCATGTTACTCTAGATTCTAGTTATAGTATGTAGATGGTGGTATTGTTTGTTCAGATTGTTGAGGCGGGGTATGACATGTCAAGCAGCATCTGCAAATTGCAGTCTGTACTGTATAACCCTCAACAATCCAAACGTGTATATATATGTTCTTACTGCCAGTGCCCCAAAATATATATACGTTTAATTTTTTCCTACCTCCAAATTTGGGCATGATTGGCCTGAGATGCACCATTTTAAAAAAAATCTGGGACCACTTAATACCTTTGGGAGCGCCAGTTAAATTGAGCACTAGCTAGAGCAAACAGTGTGGCAAACGCCAAGGATTCACTGTTGTAATGCAATTAACACTCCCCGTTTAAGAGTAAAGTGGTGTTAACCCCAAGTTTAGGGTCTGTCTATCTTCACTGTCTCTTTATCTCTGTCTCACAGGTACACATAAATACAATTACACATAGTGTGAATTGCCTAGGATAACCTAAAAAATCCAAAGTGCTATACTGTGCTTGTAGATATAATGCATAAGAATACCTGTTGGCTCAGAGTGGCTCTCTCTGAGACACAGATAATCGGAGACAAAGGTGCCGACACTCATCAAATGTCAACCCTTATCTCATCTTATCTCTGCACCCTGCTGGTGCCCATCAAATGTCATCCCTTATCTCATCTTATCACTGCCCTCCCAGATGCTTGTCACTGACACTTATCTTACACATTACTTAAAGGGAACTTTTCTTCTTCTACCTTCTTCCATCTTCTTCCTCCTTCCATCTTCTTCCTCCTTCCATCCTCTTCCTCCTTCTATACTCCCGTGTATCCAGAACATTGCTGGGACCTATAAATACTTCGTATATATTCCTAGACAATAGTAAATGACCAAGGCAGATGTAAATGTCCATCTGTCAGTGTGTTTGTGACAATTTGAGTACAATTTGCAGAGATTGGTGGATGAATTTGGTAGGGTGTGCAAAAGAAGAAAATTGAAGGTGAATACAGGAAAGAGTAAGGTTATGAGGATAAAAAGATTAGGTGATGAAAGATTGGATATCAGATTGGAGGAGAGAGTATGGAGGAGGTGAATGTATTCAGATATTTGGGGAGTGGACGTGTCAGCGGATGGGTCTATGAAAGATGGGGTGAATCATAGAATTGATGAGGGGAAAAGGGTGAGTGGGTGCACTTAGGAGTCTGTGGAGACAAAGAACTTTGTCCTTGGAGGCAAAGAGGGGAATGTAGAGAGTATAGTTTTACCAACGCTCTTATATGGGTGGAAGCATGGGTGATGAATGTTGCAGCGAGGAGAAGGCTGGAAAGGGGAGTGGAGATGTCATGTCTGAGAGCAATGTGTGGTGTGAATATATGCAGAGAATTCGAGTTTGGAAGTTAGGAGGAGGTGCGGGATTACCAAAACTGTTGTCCAGAGGGCTGAGGAAGGGTTGTTGAGGTGGTTCGGACATGTGGAGAGAATGGAGCGAAACAGAATAACTTCAAGAGTGTATCAGTCTGTAGTGGAAGGAAGGCGGGGTAGGGGTCGGCCTAGGAAAGGTTGGAGGGAGTGGGTAAAAGGGGGTTTTGTGTGCGGGGGCTTGGACTTCCAGCAGGCATGCGTGAGCGTGTTTGATAGGAGTGAAGGAGACAAATCGTTTTAATACTTGACGTGCTGTTGGAGTGTGAGCAAAGTAACATTTATGAAGGGTTGAGGGAAACCGGCAGGCCGGACTTGAGTCCTGGAGATGGGAAGTACAGTGCCTGCACTCTGAAGGAAAAGGTGTTAATGTTGCAGTTTAAAAACTGTAGTGTAAAGCACCCTTCTGGCAAGACAGTGTGGAGTGAATGATGGTGAAAGTTTTTCTTTTTCGGGCCACCCTGCCTTGGTGGAATCAGCCAGTGTGATATAAAAAAAAAAAATAATATTAGTGTCAGAACAAAGAATTGGTTATGAAATGACAAGAATACTATAAATTGTAATTATCAGAACATAAAAATTTAAAATAAAATGAGAAAAAAAAGGGATTTCGGCAAAAACTTCTGCAAGCGGGGAAGACAAAATGTTGCCGTTAGGTGAGCATTAAGTTCCAACTTTTCAGCCTCAATATCTCAGTAAGTTTCTGACCCTGTTTTTTTTTTTTTTTTTTTTTTAATCCCATAACACTTAGAAAAAATTTTTCTCTTCAATTAAAATTTTTTTATTTTTCAAAATATTCGGGGCATTGGGCGAGAGAATGTATATATATGTTTGGACCGTTTAGGGGTAATAAGCCTAAAAGTTGTAATTCTGACTTGATTTGATCATTGCATCACATTTTTTAGTGAGTATTGGCAATTTCTTTACTATTGTTTTTAAAAAAAAAAATTGTGCTTGTCTTGACTGCAAGCCAATGACCCTTAGCCCATACAGTGGAACCCCAGAAGTCGACGTATCAAAATACGAACGTTTCGAAAATAAGACCATTTTTTCGACAAACTGTGTCCAATTATCGAACGTGCCCCTATTTTCGAACCAAAAGGGTACGGGACCTGTCCGCTGGCCCGCTCTCTCCGCATCCCCACGCAGGTGCCGTGAGCAGTCTACTTTCTTTAGCTTTGAGTGAACACTAACCTGCGTATCTCATTCACACATTTTACGAGTATTTAATTGTGTTTAGTGCTTGTGGGCTGTGAAAATAAGCTGCCATGGGCCCAAAGAAACTTGCTAGCTGTACCCCTGTTTGGTAAAGAAAGTGAGAAACACCATAGATGTGAAGAAGGAAATAATACAGAAGTATGAGATTGGAGTGAGACTTGTTGAGCTTGCCAAGATGTACAGAGGACTGTAGACAGTTATTTTGCAAGACAAACAGACGATTGTGGACAGTTATTTTGTGAGACAGAAACAGACAACTGTGGACAGTTATTTTGTGAGACAGAAACAGACGACTGCAGAGTTATTTTGTGAGACAGAAACAGACAACTGTGGAGTTATTTTGTGAGACACAGATGATTGTGGACAGTTATTTTGTGAGACAGAAACAGACGACTGTGGAGTTATTTTGTGAGACAGACAACTGTGGAGTTATTTTGTGAGATACAGATGACTGTGGAGTTTTGTGAGACAGATGACTGTGGAGTTTTGTGAGACAGATGACTGTGGAGTTATTTTGTGAGACACAGATGACTGTGGAGTTATTTTGTGAGACAAACAGACGATTGTGGACAGTTATTTTGTGAGACAGAAACAGACGACTGTGGAGTTATTTTGAGACACAGACGATTGTGGACAGTTATTTTGTGAGACAGAAACAGACGACTGTTGATAGTTATTTTGTGAGACAGAAACAGACAACTGTAGACAGTTATTTTGTGAGACTGGGGTCCAATGACTCTCAAGCTGGTCCTAGTGGTATTAAAATACAGAGAAGGGAAGCAACCCCAGAGAAGGCTTTGATACTGGAAGTTCTCATGGAGGGGGATTCTCCTTCCAGACAATAACCCCAACTCCCTCTCTCCTCCTCCCTATCTTCCAGATGCCATCACCAATCTTCAATAAAGGTAAGTAAAAATGTTATTTTATATTACTATACATAATTAAAGACTATAGCATTTGTTGTATGTAAAACTGTAATTAATCTCTATAAAATGTATTTTTTTTTTGTGTGTGAATATTTTTGGGTTTCTGGAACGGATTAATTGTATTTCCATGATTTCTTATGGGAAATATTGCTTCGAATTTCAGACTTTTCGAATTTAGAACTAGCTCCTGGAGCAGATTAAGTTCGAAATTTGAGGTTCCACTGTATTTTTTTAAGCAAAAAAAAAAAGGTTATATTATAGCAAAAAAAGAAGGTTATATTATAGCTGGTAATATAACCTACCTGGAGTTTACCTGGAGAGAGTTCCGGGGGTCAACGCCCCCGCGGCCCGGCATTAAACCAACAAGGGTCATACAGCACTGTGGAGTAGAAAATAGCGCTGGGGCTATAAACAGCTAGGTGGAGAGGGAATCAGAAATGAGGGGAGAAAAGGGGTGGAAGGGACACTAAGGGCTGTGTCAAAGCTCATATAGTAAAGCAGTTGCTGACGAAAAGTAAAAAAGTAACCGTAAGTCAAAGGTAGGGCCGTCCATAAGAAGAGAAGATGAGGTAGGGCAGTGGCGGTGATGGAGGTAAATAATGCAAGTTCGGTGGTAAACCTGGCAATCTAAAAGAAAGTGAAGAACCAAAAGAGGGACCCGACAAACCTCACAGAGAGGGATAGGGCGTCATCCCATGAGATACCCATGGGTAAGGCGAGTATGGCCAATGCGGAGACAGGAGAGTGCAATCTCCCATAAAATTTTAAAATAAATATACAGTGGACCCCCGGTTAACGATATTATTTCATTCCAGAAGTATCATTCCAGAAGTATGTTCAGGTGCCATTACTGAACAAATTTGTTCCCATAAGGAATCTTGTGAATTAGATTAGTCCATTTCAGACCCCCAAACATACATGTACAAACGCACTTACATAAATACACTTACATAATTGGTCGCATTGAGAGCTGATCGTTAAGCGGGGGTCCACTGTATATGAAGTAGTCTACTTTTATATATAGCTTAGTGTATATTACACTTTTATCAGTGTTGTCATAATGTGTATATTATTATTACAATAATGGGGAAGCACTAAACCTGTAGGAGTTTTCTAATGAAAATGGGACTTGTTACTTTTTTTATTTAAGTCATTTTCAGATACTTATAACTAACATATCCTATTCCTTTGTATGAATTGTCTTTGGACTCAGCAGCTGAACACCGAACATGTTTTTTATTTCACGTTTGAAAGACTTGTAGTATAAGGGGGGGGATGGAGACAAAAATTCTAGTAAGGTATTCTATTCTCTCTTTGTTTATCAATATTTCAGGCACTTTATGCCAGCAAGATTGTGTCATATGCTCAAGGTTTTATGCTGTTGAGAGAGGCTGCAGCTAAATTTGGCTGGAACTTAAACTATGGTGGTATTGCTCTTATGTGGAGAGGAGGTTGTATCATCAGAAGGTAAGCACAAGACTATAATTGTTTACAGAAAATTGGATAACTGATGTGAACTGATTATCTTTTAGAAAATATAGTATACAGAAGGGCCCCGCTTATAATGCGGGTTAGGTTCCAGGTTACCACTGTAAGGCGAATCGCCCATTTTTTTTGTTCCACTTTATAATGTGTTTATACTGTCTCATATTAAGTTAGCAATAGAACTAGGCTCCTCGGGTTGAAGAATTTTCACAAAAAAAAATTATTTTACGAAATAATAGTGAATCTTCTCACAAAAGTAATGAAACCAAAAGTGTGAAATTTGATGGAAAATTTATGGAATTGTGCTCTCACAAAGTTGGCAATTTTTATGCATTGGCAATTTCACCCATTTTACGCACTATTTTTGGCCAGTTCCATTGTTCCGGTCAACTAAACTCGGCTATTTCACAAGTATTCCTTCTATTAAATGAGTACACGATTTCATCTACCCAATAAAGTGATCAGAAATTGGTAATTTGGTCAATTTCACAAAATTCAGCAATTGCCCATTTGAAAATAGGGCCCAGAATAAATAATGTAGACACTCCTGTTACTAAATAAACATTGCCTTTGCTCTTTAGTCATGTCTCCAGCCCCCTCCTTACATTTCGCTTGCTTTTCATTTTGAATTTTTATTCACAAAAAAAAAGAAAAAATAGAAAATTTACTTTTATGCAGACTACTATATTATTGTCTAATTAATGTCCGTGCATTCCTAAATGCATATTAGACTGGTCACTTGGACACATATTGGACAAGTGACATCATTTGTGTACTCTGGAATATCAGCAAAAATTGAACATTTTCACTATGAGCTCAATTTCAAGCTACTTTCAGTCCTGAAACTAATAAAAAATCATCACTATTTCTTTAATGTATGTTCCATTCTATCAAATGAGACCAAGAAACAAAATGCAATCATAAAAACCATATGACAATACACCACAAAGTTGCTCTTTTAAACAAAAAACACAGTCATAGCTTTTTCTCATGCACTGTGTTGCAGGAATTTGTGGTTGCACACTTACTGCATAGACCCATTCTCTCGTATCTAGGCCCAAATTTACTGCTCATAGCTTATCTGAGTGAGCTTAGCTCATGGCGTCACACTATGGGACCAACACTGGCTTCGAAGCCGTGATACGACAGGACCAACACTGAAAGGGTTAAATAGTATTCCTTGTAAATTAAATGTTTACCTGAATTAACATGGACATTAACCCTTTCAGGGTTTCTGACGTACTAGTACTGCTTACGCACCAGGGTTAATGACGTACTAGTACGCCTAAATTCTAGTGCCTTCAAATCTAGCAAGAGAAAGCTGGTAGGCCTACATATGAAAGAATGGGTCTGTGGTCAGTGTGCACAGTATAAAAAAAAATCCCGCAGCACACAGTGCGTAATGAGAAAAAAAACTGACCGTGTTTTTGGTTTAAAACAGCGACTTTGCACTGTATTTTCATGTGGTATTTATGGTTGTATTCTAGTTTTCCTGGTCTCATTTTATAGAATGGAAGACATATTACAGAAATTGAGATAATTTTGATTGGTTTCACAATGATAAGTACCTTGAAATTCAGCTCAAAGTAGCAGAAATGTTTGATTATTGCCAAAGTTCAAAAGTAAACAAATCATGCCACACGTCTAATACATGTCAACTGGTGAGTCTAATATTCTTTCACAAGTGTGCTGATATTATTTATACCATTTCTACACTAATGCAGTAGTCTGCATAACAGTAAATCTTCTATTTTTTGTAAGAATAAAAATTCAAAGTGGAAAGCAAAAAAAAGTAAGAGGAGCCTGGGGACGTGACTAATGAACAGAGGAAATGTTATTTTAGTGCCAGGAATGTGTCTTGTTTATTCTGGACCCTATTTGGAAATTGGCATCTTTGGAAATTTGTGTGAAATTGGCAAAATTGCTAATTTCTGACCACTTTATTGGATAGTTGAAATCAGTAAATGGGCAGTTTCTTGTGCTCATTCGATAAAAAAAAATTAAGTTCTAGCAAAATAGTCATGATTTTTGTTGACTAGTACACTGGAATTGGCCAAAAATACAGCTCAAAGTGGGCGAAATCGCCGATGCATAAACATCGAGACTGCTAACTTCGTGAGAGCATAATTCCATAAGTTTTCCATCAAATATCATACTTTTGGTGTCATTATGATCAGGAAAAGATTCTCTTATCTTTTTTTTTTTTTTTTTTTTTTTTTTCCCAAAAAAATTTTGACCCTGAGAACAAGTTTAGGAGAGGGCCTCTTGACCCTGAAAGGGTTAAAATTAATCTGTAGATTCTCAAAAATATAATTTTGAATGTCTTAAATGAGGTGGTTATTTTACAGCTGTAATAATCTAGAGAGGATAAGTACCTTAAAGATGGCATCATTGATGTAATGTTTTTCTTTTCAAGAGTTTTCTTATCAATCTTATCAGTTTCCTAGCAGTTAACCATTTTGAGGTCCATGCTAAAGTACATACTACAGGTTTGAGCTCAAGGTCTGTGCTGTAGTACATGATGAGCTCGGTTCACTCAGATAAGCAGTGAGCGGTAAATTTGGTCCTAGATATGAAAGAATGGATATATGTGGTGAGTGTGCACCATATAAAAATCCTGCCATACACAGTGCATCATATGATGGGGAGGGGGGAGACTCAGTATTTGGTTTAAAATAGGGACTTTGCTGTGTATTTTCAGATTTTTTTTATGGTTGTATTCTGTTATTTTCATATAGTCGGACTTGAGTCCTGGAAATGGGAAGTACAATGCCTGCACTTTAAAGGAGGGGTTTGGGATATTGGCAGTTTGGAGGGATATGTTGTGTATCTTTATATGTATATGCTTCTAAACTGTTGTATTCTGAGCACCTCTGCAAAAACAGTGATAATGTGTGAGTGTGGTGAAAGTGTTGAATGATGATGAAAGTATTTTCTTTTTTGGGATTTTCTTTCTTTTTTTGGGTCACCCTGCCTCGGTGGGAGACGGCCGACTTGTTGAAAAAAAAAAAAACTGTTTCTTGGTATCAGTTGATAGAATAGAAGATATATTACAGAAAGAGATGATTTTGATTGTTTTCATGGCTTAAAGTAGGTTGAAATTGAGCTCAAAATAGCGGAAATGTTAAATTTTTGCCGATATTCCAGAGGACACAAATTACGTCACTCATCCATGTCCAACAGGGTCGCCTAATATGAGTTTACAAATGAGCTAACATTATTTTTACAATTATTGCAATAATGCAGTAGTGTGCATACTGGTAAATCTTCTATTTTTTTATTTGAATAAAAATTGAAAATGGAAAGCAGGTGTAATATAGAAGAGGCTTGGGGATGCAACTGATGAACACAGGAAATGTTTCAGCGCTAGGAATGTCTACATTGCTTATTCAGAACCTAATTTTTAAAGTGTCAACTTTTGAATTTTGTGTGAAACTGGCCAAATTACCAATTTCTGATAATTTTATTGGGTAGTTGAAATAGTTAAATATGGAAGGCATATTAGTGAAATAGCCAAGAGTTTGGTTGACTCGAACAGTGGAATTGGCTTAAACTAAGACTTAGTGGGTAAAATCGCCAATGCTTACATATCACAGAGACCGCCAACTTTGTGAAAGTGTAATTCCGTAAGTTTTCCATCAAATTTTGTACTTTTGGTGTCATTACCTTCAGAAAAGATTCATAAGAGTTTTGTAATTCTTGGACCCTGAGAACAATTTTCACATCAAGGGTCTGAATCCTGAAAGGTTTAATAGTGCAGTACACTATTAACCCTTTCAGGGTTGATGCCGTACTAGTACAACTTGCACGCCAGGGTTGTTGCTGTACTAGCACATATAAATTCTAGTGCCTTCAGATCTAGTGAGAGAAAGCTGGTAGGCCTTGATATGAAAGAATGGGTCTTTGTGGTCAGTGTGCGCAGTATAAAAAAAATCCTGCAGCACACAGTGCATAATGAGAAAAAACTCCGACCGTGTTTTTGGTTTAAAACAGCGGCTTTGCAGTGTATTTTCGTATGCTATTTATGGTTGTATTCTAGTTTTCCTGGTCTCATTTTATAGAATGGAAGACATTATGGAAATTGAGATGATTTTGATTGGTTTCACAATGAAAAGTACCTTGAAATTGAGCTCAAAGTAGCAGAAATGTTCGATTTTTGCCAAAGTTCAAAGGTAAACAAATCATGCCATGCGTCCGATACACAACAACTGGCGAGTCTGATATACTTTCACAAGTGCACTGATATTATTTATACCATTTTTACACCATTTCTACACGAATGCAGTAGTCTGCATAACATAAATCTTCTATTTTTTGAGAATAAAAATTCAAAGTGGAAAGCAAAAGAAATGTAGCAGAAGCCTGGGGTCATGAGTAATCAACAGAGGAAATGTTATTTTAGTGCCAGGAATGTCTTGTCTTGTTTATTCTGGACCCTATTTGGAAATTGGCATCTTCTGAAATTTGTGTGAAATTGGCAAAAGTGACAATTTCTGACCACGTTATTGGTTAGTTGAAATCGGTAAATGGGGGGTTTTTTGTACTCATTCAATAGACAAAATGGAGTTCTAGCGAAATAGGCATGATTTTTGTCGACTGGGAAATTGGAATTGACCAATAATAGGGCTCAAATTGGGCGAAATCACCGATGCATAAACATCGTCGAGACCGCTAACTTTGCAAGAGCATAATTCCGTAAGTTTTCCATCAAATTTCATACTTTTGGTGTCATTATGATTGGGAAAAGATTCTCTATCATTTCATAAGAAAAAAATAATTTTTTTTTTTTTTTTTTCTCGAAAAATTTCCAACCCTGAGAACAAGTTTAGGAGAGGGCCTGCCAACCTGAAAGGATTAAGTTCCTTGAATGGAAGAGCTGTGATTTTGCGTATAGGGCATGGAGGAATAACATCTTGTAGGAGTGAGGAAGAGCCAGTTGTGAGTGTCGGGGAAGTTCGTAAGGCAGTAGGTAAAATGAAAGGGGGTAAGGCAACTGGGATTGTTGGGAAAAAGATAGAAATGTTAAAAGCAGGTGGGGATGTAGTTTTGGAGTGGTTGGTACAATTATTTAATAAATGTATGGAAGAGGGTAAGGTACCTAGGGATTGGCAGAGAGCATGCATAGTTCCTTTGTATAAAAGCAAAGGGGACAAAAGAGAGTGCAAAAATTATAGGGGGATAAGTCTTTTGAGTATACCTGGTAAAGTGTATGGTAAAGTTATTGTTGAAAGAATTAAGAGTAAGACGGAGAATACGATAGCAGATGAACAAGGAGGCTTTAGGAAAGGTAGGGGGTGTGTGGACCAGGTGTTTACAGTGAAACATATAAGTGAACAGTATTTAGATAAGGCTAAAGAGGTTTTTGTGGCATTTATGGATTTGGAAAAGGCGTATGACAGGGTGGATAGGGGGGGCAATGTGGCAGATGTTGCAGGTGTATGGTGTAGAACTTTGTCCTTGGAAGCAAAGAGGGGAATGTATGAGAGTATAGTTTTACCAATGCTCTTATATGGGTGTGAAGCATGGGTGATGAATGTTGCAGCGAGGAGAAGGCTGGAGGCAGTGGAGATGTCATGTCTGAGGGCAATGTGTGGTGTGAATATAATGCAGAGAATTCATAGTTTTGAAGTTAGGAGGAGGTGCGGGATTACCAAAACTGTTGTCCAGAGGGCTGATGAAGGGTTGTTGAGGTGGTTCAGACATGTAGAGAGAATGGAGCGAAACAGAATGACTTCAAGAGTGTATCAGTCTGTAGTGGAAGGAAGGCAGGGTAGGGGTCGGCCTAGGAAAGGTTGGAGGGAGGGGGTAAAGGAGGTTTTGTGTGCGAGGGGCTTGGACTTCCAGCAGGCATGCGTGAGCGTGTTTGATAGGAGTGAATGGAGACAAATGGTTTTTAATACTTGACGTGGTGTTGGAGTGTGAGCAAAGTAACATTTATGAAGGGATTTAGGGAAACCGGCAGGCCGGACTTGAGTCCTGGAGATGGGAAGTACAGTGCCTGCACTCTGAAGGAGGGGTGTTAATGTTGCAGTTTAAAAACTGTAGTGTAAAGCACCCTTCTGGCAAGACAGTGATGGAGTGAATGATGGTGAAAGTTTTTCTCTTTCAGGCCACCCTGCCTTGGTGGGAATCGGCCAGTGTGTTAATAATAATGAAAAAAAATGGAAGAACTTCTGACATGGCTATCCCTATAATCTTTTTCTGCAGTCCATCAATGAAACAGACAGTCTGCTCTATTGAACACTTCAGTATATTAGTAACAGATTTTTCGTTAAAACGGACACCCTTACTCCCTAATTGTTCATTTTATGGAGGTTTCACTGTACGTACTTACCATACATGAAAGTGTCACTTAGTGATGATGTATATTTTTTATGGCTTGTATATGCCATACCACAGCATCAGTCACCCAGCAGTATTTAAAGATATCTGTACTTTTGTAGGCCTTAATCATCATCTGTTTATGGTGACAGGTTTTCCTCTAGGTAAATATAAAAGCATATATCACCATACTTTGGACTGAAGCTACTCTGTCAGTTTCAAAGGTGTAAACATAGCCTGCACCTTCTGCATGTCAGATGACTAAAATGCAGCTTTGTGACATGTTTGTCCCACAATGTTCATGTAGCATATCACTTTTCCTTATCCCCCTGGGAAGTTCCAGCTGTTCGAGTCTGTTCTTTCTCACTCCCTTGCTCGAAAGCCCAACTGCCTACGGTGGCTTCCCGCTCTCTTTTTCTTGACCACTTCCACTCTCATTCTCATGCCATCGCAGTGTACACAGATGGCTCTAAGTCTTCTGACGGCGTCGGATTCGCAGCAGTGTTTCCGGACAGCGTCGTGCGAGGGCATTTACTATCTTCGGCTAGCGTTTTTACTGCTGAATTGTATGCCATTCTTGCAGCACTTATTCGTATCGCATCTCAATGAACAGGCAGACACTGCTGCGTGGTCAGCAGTACATGACCTACCAGTTTCATATAGAGGTGTTCCATTTCTGGACTATTTTGCTGTAATAGCTACCCACCTCCACACCCTTTGGCAAGAACGTTGGTCAACTCTGCTCAGTAACAAACTTCATTCTATTAAACCGAGCATAAGTTACTGGCCGTCTTCTTGTCATCAGTGCCAAGGTTGGGAGACTACTCTCTCCCGCCTTCGCATTGGCCACACTCCTCTTACTCATGGGTATCTCATGGAGAGGCACCCTGTTCCTCTCTGTGAGCAGTGTCAAGTTCCAGTATCGATTAGCCACATTCTGTTAGACTACCCCCTTTATCAACGAGCACATAGAATTTACCTCCAACGTCGTCTCCGCTCTACTACTCTCTCTCTTTACCTTCCCTTCTTGCTGATGGACCCTCCTTTAATCCTAACTCTCTCATTGACTTCTTGACAACGACTGATTTACTCCACAAACTCTGATGATACCTTTCGCACTCCCCTCAGCCCTTTCTACCTCAATCTCTTGCTGCCCTCTACCCTTTCACCATCCACTGCCCCGCTGTTTTCCGTAACTATTACTCATCCATCTCCCTTTTGCCACCTGATACCCTCGCTTCCTTCCTGCCCTGCAGCGCTGTATAGCCCTTGTGGTTTAGCACTTCTTCTTGATTATAATAATAATGTCCCACACTTCATGTTTTTTATCACACCCTGTGGTTATTGAATAAAAATGGCATGTTTGACTGCCATAGTAGCAGACACGGTTCTCACATGGGTTTATTATTTCTAAATATCCTCTTGGCAAAGCATTTATTAAATATTTTTCCCTCTGAGAAGTTTATTGTAAATGTAAGTAATGTAAGTGTTTGTTTTTTCTCTGCATAGTGTGTTCCTGGGAAAGATCAAGGAGGCCTTTGACAAGAACTCTCAGTTAACCAACCTTTTACTGGATGACTTCTTTAAAGATGCTGTAGGCAATTGTCAGTCAGGATGGCGGGCTGTTGTGGCTCAGGGTGCTCTGCTTGGCATCCCTACACCTGCCCTGAGTTCTGCACTTGCTTTCTATGATGGCTATAGATCTGCTGTGCTTCCTGCAAATCTCATTCAGGTGAGAAATCATATGTACCTGTAGTAAAATTAACTAACGAGGCTAAGGCTCTGCAGAGCTATTCAAAAAGCGAAAAGCATTGAGAATGCAGAAGCCACTCCTCAGACGAGGCTTCTTTACCTGATGCACTAACACCAGATGTAGATTAACTATCCTGATAGTTTACTGAAGTGATTGAACCTTGAACCAGGGGTAGTGCCAAGGAAAGGATTAGCCCTCTAAATAAAATAGTAATAATGCTGCTTCAAAAAGTGTCTTAGCCCTCTCTCCCTACCAGTTAACTACCCATAAGCCCCCCCCCCCCACTCCAGCACAGAAATTCTGGCACTGCCCCTGCTTTGAACCCATGATCTGACCCTCGGTTGTAAACTGTGGACTGATAATCAAAGTAGCACCAAACTAGAAGTCAAGGCTCAATTACTCCACTGATATGCAAGCAAAAAGTGCTTTCCTCTCTTTTTCAGTTCATTGCTGGGATTTTTATTTTTTCTTAAGAATTTTGAAATGTGAAAAGCTGGAAACAGCCCTTTCACCCAAGAGGTGATTTATGGACAATGAATTTTCACTCTAGAAGTAGTGTTTTACTAACTGGTTTTTGGGTAAAGAAGTCTAGTATCACATGATAAATAGCAATAAGAATTATGCAGTACAGTACTCTCAAATACTTCACATAATATTTTAATGTATAAACCTAAGGTTTGTTCATATTTGTATGTTGTGATAAAACAAGTAGACATTCAGGGTGACATACACTTCTCAGGGCATGAGGAAAAGTGAACAGTACAGTGTATTTGTGCACACACACACTTGTTATATTCATCCTCCAATCTATTTACAGTTTTGAAAATCATATTTGTTATTCAGCAGAATTGCTAGCCTTGTATCAGCATGTTAGAAATCAGTGTTTCAATTTGGATTATTCTTTCATCAACTAAGCCAAGTCTCAAATAGTCATTAAAAATTTAAAACTTAAATAAGATGACAGATTCAAATAAGAAATTACAACAATATTGGTTGGACTTTATATACCAATAGTAAACTACTCGAGACATTTTTTTTTGTCAGTAGTATGAATGTTGTCTACACGATGCAGACAATATTTACGTATGTATTGTAATAATGAGTTATATTACTGTAGCTGTAACAATTCACAACCAACCCACAAGCACAAGATTAATTTTTAGATGATTCAACATGATAATGCTCAAGGATGTCAGTTTGTAGGTTGTGAACTTGTACAGTATTTATTATTTACCGAGCTGCCACATATTTTTTAACAGGAGTATATGAAATGAAGATGAATTACAAGAAATAAAGATGTTTTATAAGAAATATGAATACACTTAAATTAGTAATGGGAACTATAAGCACCCACAAAAATATTTGTTTTTCAGGCTCAACGTGACTATTTTGGAGCACACACTTATGAGTTGACTGTGAACCTGGCAAATTCCATATACTAACTGGACTGGAACAGGTGGCAATGTTTCTGCAACCACTTATGATGTCTAGCAATTTGTTAAGTGTATATTTTCCCCATCTTTTAAAAATGCATATTTTTGTCTTCAGATTTATTCTTAACAAGCTATTTAAAAGTAGCCAATGTACTGTTTCTCATTCACTATGCCTTTACAGTGGCATAGTGAATGAGTGAAATTAAGGCATTTTAAATATTTTGTATGTGCTAGTCTAACTACTTAGATTGTTGAATTTATGAATTCATAAATTTACAAAACTAATATATAGGAGAGTCTTAGACCCAGACATAGTGCTAATGCACAAGTCCGAATTATACAGCGAGAATTATTTGAACTTTAATGAGATGTGCACCATAATCTGTTCGTGAAAATAATACAAGTACAGATTTTACTGTTTTATGCTTTAGACTGGCCTATGAGGATTCCTTGCACTCCTTTCTTCTCTGGGGGCAGTTTTTTCTTTACCTAATATGATAGAAAGTGTAAAATATAAAATCCTCATACACCGTGAAATTATGTAATGCTTTACATTCCATGATCTTGCAGTCTTAGGTTAACAAAATCTTATTTAGCACCTAGATATTTATTATACAGTATTATTACACTTTTATGTTTATCAGGCTGTATAACCCTTGTGGCTTGGGGCTTCTTTTTGATTATAATATGTTTGTTTATCAGAATTTTTTACGTATTTACACTGTACACATTTTAGGTCGATTGATTTTGTGTGTGGATGAAGTAAGGTATCTTGCAAAAAAAAAAAATGCAACAGAATTATACAATGTTCCTATCAAAAAATGTTAGACCTACGTTTTCCAGCATAGTCTTGTATATTATGCAGTCAACAAGGAGGGGTGTTAATGTTGCAGTTTAAAAACTGTAGTGTAAAGCACCCTTCTGGCAAGACAGTGATGGAGTGAATGATGGTGAAAGTTTTTCTTTTTCGGGCCACCCTGCCTTGGTGGGAATCGGCCAGTGTGATAAAAAAAAAAAATAAATAACATTTCCCTCAGAGTATGAATCAACTGTAATGCCTGTCATGTTAGAGGACATTTTCTATGTAAAGGTACATGGTGCTCACGTGCTATACATCACCAAGATGGACCTGGCATGTTTTTACTTCACCATTTTTATTTACCATTTTTGTCAGGGTAGAAATGGTGTAAGTTGACAAGTGGTAATTTATAATACACTTAGTGGGGATAACCTTTATTAAACAATGTCTCACCCACTGTAGTGCTTTATTAAGTACTTTATCAAGCCTCAGTGTAGGTGAAATGTGTATCAAAGGTTTTCCTTGGTGAAATTCTTTCAACGTGCCTCACTTGTCAGAACGTAATATGTTGTACACATAACCTTTGGTGTCATTTTACTAGGGTGTGCACTGAATTACTTGTGCCAGGAGGGCCCAGACTTGCCAAGTTTTATTTGCAGTCTATCAAAACAAAGGTGCCCTTCACTTGTGTGACAGTTGTTTTATGTCCATTGCAGTTATACTAAGCTTCCAAGCCATCCTAATATTTAATTCTGCATAAAAAGATATTAAATACATTTTCCAAAAAGCACTGATAGAATTCACTAAAAGTATAATAGTTGATATGGACACATTACATAAAAGGAAATTCACAAAGTGAACCTGCATAAAAGGAAGGAAACTTGTACATAACATTACTGTTATCTGATGTGTAGAATGATATACATACACATCAGTTGTGGTTTTCCTATAAAGTATCTGCCTTGTAATGACTGTTAATAAATAATCTTTCTGGTAAGACATAAAGCTCTCAAATGTTTTTATTGTATATAAATTTTCCACACAAGACCCAAGATGTTCACATAATGAAAGTCACATTCTTACATTTAGACTGCAAAAATGTACTAATTAGTCTATGGACAGATTTTGGATAGTTTAAGGCTTAAATAATCTCTCGATTATATATTACATTTTATTAATCCCTGTTTGGCTAACCAGTTTTCCCCGAATCCATTCATAAGTTACTCTGCTCACACACTACAGCACATCCATTAAACATCACTTCTTTTTTTTTCTCCCCATTCATTCCTTTCTAACATGTTCAAGCCTCTTTTTACCTCCTCCTCCTAACCATTACTGGCATGACCCCTTTCCCTACTACCACCCCATATTTATAGCATCTTCATCCTATCCCTCTTCCCCCTTTCTACATGCACCAACCCTCTGACTTAGACCTAATCTCTGTACTCCAAATACCCTACATGATATTCACACCATGTTGCTCTCAAGATTTCTCTGTTGCTTCTAGTTTCCTTGCTGTAATATTTAAAACCCATGCCTCACACCATTTAAGTGTTGGTACCACTATGGTACTTTTTTTTTTTTTGCTCCACAGATTCCTTAATATACCTTCCACCTCCTTTTCCCCCCTCATCTACTCTATGGTTTACCTTGTCTTTTGTAGATTCATCTGTTGACTTGTCCAATTAACAAACTATTTGGTAAATCAGTAATTTGTAATAATTTTAATAAAGATATACTTTATAAAGAAAATATTTTTCACCCTTGCCTGTTACCTTGGGGAGCTCCTGGGAACTTCCCTGTTGCTCAGGGGTGACTGCCAGGACATCAGTAAACTTGTGTGCTGATTTTAATATAGCCTTGTTAATGGAGGTTTATAACCAATGCTGGGTATTAACTAAAATTGTTTAGTGTATTTCCCGGTTTGTAAAACACTTTTCAGGAAGTCTATTTGATAACATTTAACTTGCAGTGGGGCTGTATTTGATAAAGATCCACTGTAAGGAATTATTTGAAATTAAAAAGAGCACTAAACCCCACTGTAATTATACATCACATAATAAAGGGTTTCCCTAATAAAAATGTTCATGTGGGCTATGGTCTGTCTTTAACATATGATGTAAACTGCTTTTTTTTTTTTTTTCTTGGCATTTTCTACCTATATCTGAAGGCTATTTTAAAGTTGGTTAATGTTGCACAAGATTTTCTCAAATCTTAATGAATGTGATTATTCTTTTAGTGATATTTTTAATACCGACTTCTCAAATGGGACAACTTGTACAAATTTGCTGCATCTTACCTGTTATTTTGCTGAGCTCACAATGTGTTGGTTTTCCCCAGACACTGAATCTCCTTTCACTAACACATTACTCAAATGTTTATCACATAATACTTATACAGAAAGTTACCAAAGGTAATTAAACATACTTCAAACTAATAATTACTGATTAAGCAGGCTGGTGATCTTGGTAGCGAGACCAGCTGATTACCCTGTAATAGGAAATGCTACTAAATTCCTGTAATTAAATAAAAATTTATATGGAACAAGTTCTACGATACAGCATTAGGGTACTTAACATGCATTTTCCTAAAATGAAATCTTTTATAATGTATGTTTCCTATACGACTTTAATTACCGAGAATAAAAGTAAATTAACTACAGAAATTTTGTGCCTATAACAAGGTTTGAAACCTGATTATTTACACAAAAGTTTCTCTTTTCAAATTTAGTAATGTATACAGGAGAACGGATTACTATGGAGCAAAATACACTGGATCAACAGATTCGGAAACAATGGACACAGTCCTTTGGTCACAGAATTGTTCATTATTGTTAGAGTAAAATAATCTTTCTCTATCCACCACAACTGCCATACTGGCCACCTGCTTCCCCAATTAGTTCATTAAATAGAGAGGTTTACTATAGTTTTATTTTCACAAATAATTGCTGAAAATAAAATTCAAATAATAACAGTTTGGCCAATAAATCAACTGAGAACAATTCACAACACTGATAAGTGAGCATACTGCATGCTCTTCTAACAAATTAACCTATTTAGAACCTCCAAGTCATGTGACTTAGTGATAGTTATGACTGGCACAGTCTCCCATGACAAGTCTCAGTTGATTTAGCAATTTGCCTAAGCAACAGAATTTCTTCTACTCTATGTGCAACATGCACTCTGTTTTACACATTTTCCCCACCCAAACAAAATTCTTTAAAACTTTTTATCTTTACTTGCCCAATAATTTTGTAACAATCATCTACAGTTATAACATGCTCACCCCACAAGGAAGATGCCTAGATCCAAGGAACTGGACTTATCTTAGACTTCCTTGGACTGAATCTGAATGCCTCCTATTTCTCTTATTAAAATAAACACGTGCTCAATACAGTACATACAGCATTGTAATTGTATGAAAAAAAATTCTTCAGATTAGCCCCAGAGGTCTAATAATACAGGATAACCCAAGAAAGTCACTCAGTATTGCTTATTTCCATTGCATTTCTTTGGTCCTCTTTTCAAAGTTGCTGCCCACAACAGTTGCCTGTCATCCAGGTACTGTACCCATTCAATGCTTAGTGAATGAGTAATAGGTGTAAGAAGACAGGGTCTTTTGTTATGAGCTGAACACACTACCAATGAGTTGTTATAAACAACGTACTGTAAAAAATTCCAGCAAATGTACAAGAGACACGTATGCAGCATTATTTAACTAGTATCATGGAAACACCGTGCCTTTATAACACCGAGTATGTCTATTATACATAAATTACTAAAATACAATACAATATTTGATTCCTCTTGCTGTATTCATCAGATACAGTATTAATGCATAGTAAATATATGTTGTAATTAAACCTTTACTCACACTAACGCATTTAAATTTATTATAATTTTATGTTGAAAAATAAACTAATATATACCCATGTACTCTTATTTGTTTGACTGCTATGGCAATATGTGGATTTGGTCTTGCTGATTTTTTACTGTCTACTCTGGGTTTAGCATTTTTCCCTTAATATAATAGTGTTAGAAATAACTTTTTGACAAATAATATACCGTATTATGAATATTCATTAACACTGTCAGAATAAGCACTGAAATGGCATCAAATAAGGTAAATACTGTACAAGAAACAAGTAAGACCATACAGTTTATACAAATTATTTTCATAAACATTTTTAGTATGGAATGGAATAGTTTATGGTTTCAAGCCCTTCAAAGAGGATGCCTCAATACTGAGGGGCTTTTGATCTAGCAATAAAAGCTGCTTTCAGTTTAATCAAATCAAACCAAGATACTATGATATTATGCCTTAAAGTTAATACTGCATACAGAGATAAATTTACTGTATTCAAACCTTTGCAAATTAAGGACTTACCAGTAATTTTATCCACAGGAAATGAACTTCAATATATCCTATAGATACAGAAATAGGTTTTTGAATTTAATTTATTTTACAATTCTTATTTAATTAATGAATTTCAAATTTATAATACCCAGTATGCAAGACTTAACAATTAAGGTGAGGGCATGTTGCACTCTTACTGTGCTTCTGTCGTTCCAACAGGTGGTTCTTGGTTTGAACATTCTGGTTGTTTTTCCCACACATCAATTTCTCGCAGCCCATCACACCCCAGCTTTCCACAAGCATATGCTGACAATACGAAGAAGAAGAAAGCAAGGACCATGTAGTAGACACCATAAATGATGAACTGTTGTAAGAGAAGAAAACAGAGCATTGAACTTCAAATCTCACTAGAATAATGTATAGGTATACACCATAATATATTCAATAAGCAATAAGTCATTTAATCTTAGTTAATGTTTTTATGAACTTGTATAACAAAGAGGCTTGGATGGGTGTATAAAACAAGGAAGCCAAAAGTGAGAGTAGGCTGACAGGCAACTTACTTCAAAGGGAAGTGAAAGGAACACATCCTAACACCAAAATGATAACCTCTATACACAACACCTTTATTCATACGAAGCAAACAAACATCCATCAGTTTTATCTGTATGCCTTGTGCAAATAGTTTATTCACGTTTTTTTTTTTTAACACGTTGGC